TAATGGCAGTTCACTTTGTGAAATAATTGTTTAACAATGTACATGTACATTTTTACGAGGTTTAGTAATGGCAGTTCGTTTTGTGAAATAATTGTTTAACAATATACATGTACAATTTTACGAGGTTTAGTAATGGCAGTTCACTTTGTGAAATAATTGTTTAACAATGTACATGTACATTTTTACGAGGTTTAGTAATGGCAGTTCGTTTTGTGAAATAATTGTTTAACAATATACATGTACATTTTTATGAGGTTTAGTAATGGCAATTCACTTTGTGCAATAATTGTTTAACAATATACATGTACAATTTTACGTGGTTTAGTAAAAAGTATTAAATTTCAAAGAGATGTGGATATTTTTGTGCCAAAACAGTGAATAGTGGTTAAAAAAATCGCAAAAATCACGATGAATTTTCATTGTGTCATGTAATTGTAGTTTCGTTCATTAATATTTCTGATAATGAGCTGTTTGATTCAAAGCCTCAAAAAACGATGCTTCTACCACAACTTGTGTTTACAAAATACCTTAACATTTTTAGGGATTCATCTCTTCCAGAAAATCAAATCAGACCTCCTCCTTAAATGGTGTTGAACAGAATCTAAAAACCCATCTTTTTTACCCCCCTGGACTTACAGAACTAGAGTTGATAAGAGCACTTATATTCAAATACTGTAAAGGATGAACATAATCTAACTTTTCGGTAAGCTAATACCAGTCATCGTGACATGCGCGTGGTAAAACCTACAACAATCATTTAAAGCTGAATGAAATCTTCTCCAAACATCGTTATCCTTCACTCCTTCTAGGAGTTCGTTCATTCGTGAAAAGACTCACTAAGCCTGAATTTTATAAACAAAAATAATAGTATAGAGTTTACCCTTACTGATCTGATATAAGGAATGTTTAGGGAATACAGCCGTAACTGTATACGACTAGACTTTATCATTGACATTTATTTGGTTATTCCATCAAATATATCTTTAAATGTCAAGTAGAAACAAGGTTAGTACCAAGATAAATAGAAAAGTCTAAGTAAAAGCAATAAATCTCAAGAACGGTGAGCGTAACAGTACTGTCAATGGTGCTACACTCTTTTCTTAAAATAAAAAAACCTGGGATGTCAACTTACCTGTGTTTCTCCCTTTACCCGTCATGCACTTGGTATATGCGATGAAAGCGAGAAGAAAAAGTACCGACGATAATGTTTCTGCTCGTCCTACAACGCCTGTCACCTGACACACACACACACGAAACAACAAATATGAAAACATGTATACTCGATTTCATGCATGTTTATAATCAATAAATAAAAATACCGACGATAATTTTTCTGCTCGTCCCATAAACCCTGCCACCTGACACACATGTAAAATAACAAATATAAAAACATTTACACTCGATTTCGTGTATATCTGTAATCAATATATAAAAATACCGACGATAATTTTTCTGCTCGTCCCATAAACCCTGCCACCTGACACACATGTAAAATAACAAATATAAAAACATTTACACTCGATTTCGTGTATATCTGTAATCATTATATAAAAATACTGACGATAATTCTTCGTTCGTCCTACAACGCCTGTCACCTGACACACATTTTTTAGAACAACAAATATGAAGCATGTCTTTTTATTTGTTTGTTTCGGACATTCGCGCAAAGCTAGCCAAGAGCTATCTGCATTAGCCATCCCTAATTTTGAACCGATAGACTAGAGAGAAAACAGCTAGTGAAAAGCACCCACTGCCAACTCATGGGCTATTCTAATCGAATAGTGGGATATGCTTGTCACTCTTATAATTCACTTATGGCCCTTTAGTGCGAAATGCAATTTTGTGGTAATGTAAAGCTAACCATGAACATACGGATTCACAGTTCTGGAGGCTAATCACGAGGCCACGCCCAGCCCACGTTATATTTGTATACCTTTATTATGTTAACTTTATAATTAGATAATACCAAAATTTAAATACTGTGATGTATCATTTGACTTTCAGGAAATGTTTACTGACAGTTGAAGTATACTGAGACGGGTACTTGATCGTGTGCTGAACCCACAAGAGACTGCGCAAAACAACGATCAAGTAACAGCTGTCTCAAACATATGTAAAACACTTATTTAATATTAAATTTCAGGAAATTAAACGCTTCAAATAGTATACCTTAAACCTCGTTCTTCCACAGTCAACGTTAACCTCTCGTGAATAGTTTAATATATATTAATTTATTTTAAGTCACTTCTCTGCAATGTTAGAAGCTATTTCATTGTTAATTTAACGAGAAAAGGGATAATGTTATGCTGTCAAAATGAGTGAAAACGAAAGATTGTTTGTTTATAATTAAACACAAAGCTACACAATGGGCTATCTGTGCTCTGCCCACCACGGGTATCGAAACCCGGATTCTAGCGAAGTAAGTCCGCAGACATACCGCTGTGCCACTGGGGGGCGAAAACGAAAGAACCAATTTTAGTCACTTCTTTCAAAACATTTCTTATTCTTGTTGCTTTAGAATGGTTCAATGTGTCAACCGAGTTTCTTTAAATTATATATATATATATATTAGTACATCCTTAAGCCTTTCTTTCAATTATGTACTTATGAGAAATTAATTGTATACAGCCAGGCGATTGTCTACTTTCATTGTACTGACATATATATATTTTTGGAAATGTAAGGATATTTTTGTCAATTTTTTTAGGAGACAGCGGTAAGTTTACAGATTTACAACGCTAAAATCCGCAGTTCGATTCCCTGAAGCGTACATAGCAGATAGCCCAATGTGGTTTTGGTCTAAAACAAACAATCTGTTTTTGTAGGAAATATTTAATGCTAAAGAATCACCTAAAGAAGTTTAAGAATTCTTAAATTGCACCTAACTTTTTGGAGATATCGAAAAATCAGAAGGAAAGTTACATGGGTTAATGTAGAGAAAAAGTATTGTTTGTTTTCAATTATGCACAAAGCTACACAAGGGCTATCTGTGGTCTGCCCGCCACGGGTATCGAAACCCGGTTTCTAGCGTCGTAAGTCCGCAGACATACCGCTGTACCACTGGGGGGGGGGGAAGGAAGAGAAAAAAAGTAAAACTAATACTCACTGCTTCTGTATGGATAGGGTGAACGGCAAAAAATACAGCGGCAACCAAACTTGCCAACTCGGGTAGGATCATACGGCACACTCTACAGGGAGGAAAACATAAAGTCATTTTAATCACAAGAAAATATAAGATAAAAACAAATGAAGCAAAGAAGTTAGAACTGCATAATAAATTTTATTTTAGTAAAAAGAAAATACAAAATATTCCTTCTTCGCAATATCTGAAATGCAGAATTACATTTAAAATGGAAGAAATACAATCCACGTCGAAATAATGAAAGACTTTATGTGCTGACCAATAAAAACAACAATTAAAAAATCTGGTCGGCTTTCTTCTAGAAAATTAAACATGAAATTTGCTATCAGGTTAAATAAACATAAATATACTATACAATTATTACACAAAACCTATCATATTAAAGAAAAATAACAATAGATTTTGTTTCATAGACAGTAAAAACAAAATATTTGTTATTTAAAAACAATATTAGAATAAATTTTCCCCTTTATTAATCGATATAAATATAATAGTACTCTCTGTTGTATGTACATGTAACTACTTGGCAGGGTGTGTGTTTGGATGGATCTTTACCAAATTTGGTATGGAGATTCATTAGATCCATGCGGGAGTACATGTAAATGTTTAGTTTTGCATTTTGCGGTTGTTATGGGCATTTTTGCGTTTTTTACCACTACTTTGCCCCCCTCTTGATGGATCTTCACCAAATTTAGCCAGAAGGTATGTTGGGTCCATAAGTAGATACATGCAAATTTACGGTTTCACATTTTGTATTTTGCAGTTTCTGCGTTTTTTACAATTACATATAAGGGAAGCAACTTTTCATGTCCGAAGATAACCTTTTATTAATCATGAATTTACATAATTTCCATCAGGGTACAGGTACTCCAGCTAGTGAGTAACTATTTTAGCCAGTTGTGTAGGATAAAAAAAAACTTAAAAGCTTGTGATTATTACTATTCTTCAGTAGTAAATATGAGGGTCTTAAATATTTTTTTATATATTTAAAATTTAGATAAAACGTTTAATTAACTGTCAGAAACAAAGTACTGTTACGTCTCCGTTTGTTAATTAACTTTCCGTAACTTCGTTCCGACGAAACTTTAGCAACACAAGTTCTTTACTTA